CCACAGGCGCCCACCACAATGCCTGGCTATTTTTTTTTTTTTGGTTGCAGCAATCATTGTTGTTTGGCAGGCCCAGGCTGGATTTGAACCCACCACCTTAGGTGTATGTGGCTGGCGCCTTAGCCACTTGAGCCACAGGCGCCGAGCCTGTTCAGACTTTGGGGCCTGTGTTTAATAGTTTTATCAGTGAGAATCAGGTTCAGCTACAAGTGACACAAAGCAAATTGGAGGAGGATTTTGCTTTCCTATGTCCAGGCAGAAATCTGGAGCAGAGAGGCATTCTATAGTATAAGGGACCCTAACTTCTTCTGTCTTGTTACTCTGTCCTGTGTAGCCTCAACCTCATGGCCTAAGCTGATAGCATCTGCATTCCAGGCAGCAGTGGAGAAAGAGGCAAAGAAGAAAGCACAGTTTCCGGAAGCCCCTGTATGGCTCCTTTGCATACATTGCATGAAACAAAGCTTTGTCATATGTCATACCAAATACAAGGGCGACGGGGGAAGTGTCTTTTCTTAGGGGTTGATACAGGTCTTGCCCACAATTCTATTACTTGATTTCTGATCAAGTGGATTTGTGGAGGAGGTGGGGGAGATACTAATAGTCTATACAATAGAGGCTGATGGCAAAATTTTAAAACTCAGGAACATTCTTAGCAGAGGGGAGACCAGCAGGGACTGAAGTCCTGGCCATCCTTGTCTGCTCTCAGAACAGCCCGGAGATTTGCCAGCCTGCTCCGTGGCGTGGTGCCAATCCAACACTTATGACCTAGTTGAATTTTTCTCATATAAAGCATTTGTTTTTAATTCTGAAAAGCTTTATTTTTAGAAAGATAGTGTGTATTTCTTGCTCTTATAACAGTAACAGAAATGCTATTTCCCTTCCCCCAGCCCCTGGCGATCATGAGATTTTATCAATTGCACATCCTCAGTCTCTCTCAAATGTCCCTACTTCTCTCATCCCTACCACCGAGGCGGTCCACGTCACCATGGTCTCTCACCTGATCTACAGCAAAGGGCTTCCACTGCTTCCCCTTCCCATTGTCAAATCCAATGGTCTCTTATCTCCTCTGGGCAGCCAGAGTGAACTTGAAAGACACAGACCAAATCACTCTCCCAAATCCCAAAGCCTTCCCTAAGATCTTAGAATAAAAAGCAAACTCAACATGGTTTACGAGTGCTAAGTATAGCCTGGCCTGCCCACCGTCCCAGCCTCCTCCCAAACTCTTCCACTCTGCATTGTACCTTTTGGCTACACTCTTTTCCACCACGGGGCCTTGGCATGTACTGCCTCGTCTGGGCAGAGAGAGCCACCCATCCCCACCCCCCTGTGTCTCATTAAGCTCAAGCTCACCCTTTCAGGGAAGGCTTCCCTGACCAGCCTCCACCCTCTCTCCCTTCCCACCACACCGTGAGGGCCCTTTTATAGTTACAAATTCATCCCTGTGTTTATTTGACTAAGTTCTGTTTCCCCAGCTACCGTCTAAGTCTTGGGAGGCCAAGACTATTTGTGCACCCTATTGCGTCTCTCCTCTAGTACAGTAGGAGGCTCAGCAAATGAAAGCACAAATATATAAATATGCAAAAATTACAATTATCCATAATCTAACATTTCCAGAATAACCACTGCTTCCAGAGTCTGATAAGTTTTCTAAAATTGTGTGCTAACATTGACATTTACATTTTGTCATAATGATCTTAGAACTGAGATCTGGGTCCCAAATCCTCATGCCAGAATTTTCGCCCAAGCACTTACCCCATTTAAACACAACCAAACGTGAGAGGTTAGGACCAAAGCCATGGCCCTCACAGAAAGAGGAAAATTGGCGTGCTTTGGGCACTTTTTCCCCTTAATGATAAAATCCTACAGTAACTTCCCCTGACTAACCGTATGAAGAGCAGAGAGAATGTCAGGGAGGGCCCGTCAGCACACAGGTATGGCCCTGTAACTGCTTTTCCTTTTAAAGTTGTGTTTTGGCTCTCATGGGGGTGGTTTCAAAACACATCAGGTTTCTTGGAAATATGTGTACTGTTTCTGAGACACACCTAAGCCTGCTATCTGTAATTAGCCAAAAAGTCCTTGGGTTAATCAGTCTAGTTTATTATTGTCAAGTAAAACCCCACAGGAAAACAGGCCTCGGTTGGCAGTTCCCTTCCTAGTCCAGATGCTGCAGAGACAGGGCGCTGGCTGGGCAAGGCTCAGCAGAGGAATCTGCCATCGCTGTTGGCCTCAGCGGTCAGTTCTGGCGGGTGCAAAGAAACATAGAAGTTGTGAAAACCCAAAGAAAGTCCACCAGCAGCGGAGCCCAGGCCACAGGCCTCAGGGAGCCTGACGGGAGGAATCCCAGGCTCCAGAGATCTAAGCAAGGAAGGGGTCTGGCAGGGACACTGTCCCCTTCCAAATGCCCCCCACCCACCCTACCCTAGCTCCCAGTGGGCTGCTCCCTACCAGCCCTTGACTCCCCATATCTGAATGGGTCGCTACCCATGATCCCCCTGACCTTCCCAGGTCTAAATGGGTTACTCCCCACCACCCCCTGACCCCCATGGCCCCCCAAAATTAAAGTACCTGGACATGCCTGATGGCAGCCTGAGAGGCGGGGACACAGAGGCCCCCGGTGAGGCTGTTCGAGGCCTGCCAGGATGCACAGGTGCTCAGGGATCCCGCCGGCTCCCGCCTCATGGCGGCCTGGGGGAAGGGGCCTGGAGGCCGCTCCACTTGCCGCTGCCTCCGCCGCCTCCGCGAAGGTCGCCGTCCAGGGCCAGGAGGACCCCGCAGGGGCAGCAGCCCCCACAGCCGCCAACCTAGCCCGGGCACCAGGGCGGCCTCTTCCTGTCTGGCAGCGCTCTCCGCTGCCTCCGGGGCCCGCCCGAAAACCGCCACGGAACGTTGGTGACGCTATGGCTTTGCCTGTGACGCCCCCACAAGCATGCCCTGCAAACGGCAGGAACCAAGCACTGCTGCCCCCAAACCGCGATGGCCCCCAACCACCGCCAGCCCCCACCCAAGGAAAGCCAGGTAGGGGCTGAGAAGGGACGATCCCACCCCCACCTCCCTTTTCAGTGCCCTGCTCCCCGCAAAAGGCAGGGCAAAGTGGAAGGTCTGAGCCCAGAGGCGGCTCTCTTGATTTCTCTACGCTTGGCATGAGTGATGATTGCTAACTTCTGACATTTCTTTTTGTTTGATTACACAGCCTATGCCCTTCTTTTCGCCCCTAATAGTGGATGCCCCCACCCCAATTAAAGTGCATTTTCTTTGGAGACTTTTTGAAAGTCTGAAATAAATGGAAACGTCTGGTCTTGCTATGCCTTAGTTGGAGGTACTGGTGTTAGGGTTAGGGTGGGGATGAGCAGCGAGACAGCTAGTGGGGATGGTGAATGGAGATGCCCGCTTCTCCCCTGTGGATAGGACGGCCCCATCCGCACACACACACTCAACGCGCACTCACATGCTCACTTACTCTGGCACTCCCACACATGCTCACACACTCTTACACTCTCACATACACTCATACATACGCGCACACTCACTGTCATGCAGTCACACACTCCCACATGCTCAGATGCACTCACCCTCTCTCACACATACATTCTCTCTCACACATGCCCACACAGTCACACTCACATTCTCATACAATCTCATACTCACATACATTCCCGCACAGGCACTCACACAGTCACAGATTTTCATACACACACGCACACACTCACATTCTCACACATGCACTCACACACATACATACATTCTGACACGCGCACACACACATGAGCTCACACACACGCTGGTGCACGGTCATCCTTCTCACCATCTCCCACCCGGAGGAAGCCTGGAGTTGCTGCTGATGCAGGAATGGCGCCTGGGTATAATGAGCTCCCAGGCCCCGTTTAAAGATGAATGAGAGGAATGAATCACTAACTTCACTGGATCTGTGCCATAGCACATTACACGGAGCACGTCCTGTGAAGAGGAAAGCCTGTGGCACCTGTGAGTCGGTGCTCTGGATTTTGGACACTTGACCCGGTGTGCCCCACCGAAGCCGAGCATGTGTCCAGTGCATGCAACTGGCAGCGGTCTGGCCCTGAGATGGCCCAGCCCAGACAGGCATCTGTGACTCACTTTCTCAAAGGGGTTCAAGGCCTGTCCTGCCTTCTCAATAATGATGAGTACACAGAAAATAACATCTCCAGGCCATTCTGAGTTCCTTAAAAAGGAAAATGAGAAACTCTTCCAATTGCATGGTTACTTGGGCAAAAGCCCAGTCCCCACTAGAGATTTAACTGCAGCCTTCCTGGCAGGGACGGCTTCTACGAAGCCTCTGATGACCCAGTCTGTTGTCCTGGTGTCACCTAGCGTGGCAGTGACAGCTGCTGCTTTCCACGTGTTGCTGACAGAAATAACCCTTCCACTCACTCACCACGAGCCTGGTGGGTGGAGACTTTAGCTATGAGGAAATGCCGCAGACTGTTCCAATCAGGACAATGCTGTGCCTGCAGCCCCCAGAGGGCACTGACTTGCTTAGCCAAACCCCAGACATTTAATTTGAAAGCAGAAGTGAAAGGAAGACAAGGTTCCTGAAAGGGTTATTCTGACTTAGACTGGCTATAAAAATGCTATTGGCTGTTATTCTGCGTGGCCAAAGTGCACCCAGAATGTCTTCTGTCTCCATCCAGTGAGTTGGTTACTTTGGCTAAAAGGAGGCAAGCAGCACTCTGCTCTTCGGGGCAAAGATGGAGCGGCAGGATCAGTTCAAGAAGGAAGGGGTGAGTGTGTTGCCCAGGGAAGGAGCCAAGACCAGCCCCAACTGCCAAGGCCAGTGCAGCCTTCCTGGAGAGTGCCTGGGGCTCTTGGTGTTGCAGAGAGCGCTCTGTGCTGTGGGGATCAGCAAGGGGCACCTGCCCTTCTAGAGTCCACCCAGCAGACAGACTGGCACGGAGAGCAGGGGAGAGATTTAGAGACAAGTGCCCTTTGGGAACCATTCTACTGGAACATCCTTTACAACGAGTACCTGTAACCGAATTGAAGAGACTCGAAGGGTTAATTTGTCCCACACTTCAACCAAATAGGTTTGGTTACAAAATTCTTACACATCTGGGGAGATCTGTTTTGCTTTGTTTTGATCGTGGCTTCAGAGTATTTAATTAACCTTTTCAGTAAGTAGCATTGCTGAGCTGTGTGAAAACAAGATAAACTCAGAAAAGGTGTTGCTAGATTTTTCGTTCAGATCTGTTGCAGAGGCTCCTTACTTTTTAGATGAGGAGGCTCCCTTTGTTTTTAGAGACAAAAGATTTTTGTGGACCCCCCCCCACCACCACCATATAAATGAGTTTACTTGTTAGACACCCTTGATTTAGGGAAATGCGTAATGCCAGAAAAGTAACATGAATTTATTAACACTTTAAAAGAATTTGCATTCTATTCATCACAATAGCATCTGCTCTTATTTGGGGGGGGGGGAGAGTAGTGCACTTTTGTGCAAAATATTCTTTATTGAGGCATGGATGCAAGACCCTTGCCATGGGCAGACTAGAAGCTTACCCTGTAGTGGGCAGATTAAGAGTGCATCTGCCAGGTGGAAACCCCTGGGGTTCATTCCTGCTCCCTCCTATTCTAACTACAGAATTTGGGCATGTTCTTTAACTCTCTGTGCCTCAGTTTTCTCATCTGTAGAGTGGGAATAAACATGCCACTTAGCAAAGGGCTGGCATAATTAAATGAAATCATGCTTGTAAAGTACCTGGCACACAGTGAACTCCCTCATGAATCTTACTACTTTACGATCTTCCTTGAAAGCTGCGTTTCTCTGCCTCCACAGTTTACATTTAGCGTTGGATGGTTCTGTCTTGGGAGGGTTGTCTTGCACTTTGTAGATGTGTAGCAGCAACCCTGGCCACTCCTCACTAGATGCCAGTAACACCTTCCCTCCGGCGTGACAACCACCTGTCCCCTGGAGGGCAGAATCCACTACCTCGGAGTTTACTGAGCACCTTCACTTAAATTATCTTGTTTGAATCTCCGCTAGAAAGTGTTAGGCCGATTAAGTGTCATCATCTCTATTTAATAGAAAAGAACTTGAGATGATGAGGACTCAGATGTGTGGAGGTGTTGGTCTGGTTTGTGCCAGAGAGAAAGGGGCTACCTGCCACGCCCCCAGGGCGGCTGCACAAAGGAAAGGAAATGCCCGGTGGGGTGGCTTTGAAAGCTGTCAATGCATCCTGAGAGGAAATGATGGCCATCTCTAAAAGATATGGGCTGATCCTAGCTGCCTGCACCCTCCTTTCTCCAGGGAAGGAAGTCTTCTCCTGGGCCAGGTGGGATGAAACCAGAGATGACCTTCCCCTTCCGAAGGGCACCCTGCCCCTTGGGAAGAAACTCAGGGCACATGATGGACTTCCCAGGAGCCTTCAAAACAAAACTATTCCAGTGGCTTGTAAGAATCTGGGCAATCATTAAGTGGAGCTGACAGGGGTTTAGGAGCGGAGGAAAAAGCAGGGAGAGCGAGGGCAGCAAAGACTGCATGGGCTGGTGAGGAGGATGCCAGGCGGTAGGGCGGCCCCAGCCCTCTGTCCCCTGTCCCTTGGTGGCTGTGTGACCGTGCCCTCCCCGGCCTTTGCTTTTCTCATATGTAGAGAAGCAAAAAACTATATCCATCAGGTGGGCATCAAGGACTTTCTAACAGGAAAAGAGACTTTTGGCCTAAAAGAAAAAAAGGGTTAGGGAAAAAATAACAAGATTTACAACTGGATAAGAACTGTTGAATAAGGCCTCCCCTCCAAAATAAAAGACGGCAACATACATATTTTTGTGTTGGTATTTCCATCACCAACTAGCTTAGTGACCTGGAGCAAGTGACTTCCCCTCTGTACTTTCTGGGTCCTTGCTGCTACTCATTCGTATTGATGGATTAATTAGTTAGCTGTGTGTAACATTCACCACAGACCCAATCTGGCTCTACATGTATGAATTCATTTATTCTTCACATCAATCCTATGAGAAAGGTAGTATCATTATCTCTTACTTTTTTATTTTTCTTTTTGAGACACGGTCTTGCTCTGTCACCGCAGCTAGAGTGCAGTGGCATCCTCATAGCTCACTGTAACCTCCAGCTCTTGGGCTCAGGGGATCCTCCTACCTCAGCTAATTTTTCTATTTTTTGCAAAGACAGGATTTCATTCTTGCTCAGGCTGGTCTTGAACTCCTGACCTCAAGGAATCCTCCCACTGAGAGTGTTAGGATTACAGGCATGAGCCACCAGGCCTGTCTCTTTACCCCTATTTTAAAAGTGCAGAAACTGAGGCCCAGAGAAGTTGCACAAGGCCACACTGCCTGGCAGAGCCAGGCTTTCAGACCCATGCTCTTGGCTCCAGAAACAGTGCTCTAAATGACCACGGTGACAAGGGCTGCTGACCTCTAAGACACCTCTAGCTCTACAGTGTTAGGAGGTTTCTCTCTCCTCTCACTGCCTGTTAGTGAAAATTTGAGTTCAGTCATGTGACAAAGTGATTTAAAGTATCATAATGCATAAAAGCTCATCCTTCCAGGGACATCTGCATTCTGACCCGAGACCCCTAACAGGGACATGTCAGAAACTAAGAGAATGTCTCTCTGAGGACAGAAAGAGGGACAGGTTCCTGAGGGAGATGGTACTGGTGGCAATTCCGTCCCCTGCTCCTTGCGTTCCACCTGCTGGAAGGTCGGCCCTGAGGGTTGTGACCTAAAGAAACTGAGGCCAAGTCCATAGAGAGAGTTTATCAGGGCCAAGATTGGGGGTTGAAGTCTGGAAAATGCCAGGAAGGAGAGGCTCAAGTTTGTAAATCAGGGTGGCACCTGTGGCTCAAAGGAGTAGCCCCATAAACCAAAGGTAGCAGGTTCAAGCCCAACCCCAGCCAAAAAAAAACTGCAAAAAAAAAAAAAAGGGTAAATCAGGGGAGGGGGCGAGTACCAAGGTAGTTTGTCAGGAATTCTCATTGGCTTATGGAAATAACATTGATCAGTGATTGGCTATACATTTGTTGAACTATAGGGTGTGAGTTACAGTGTCCAGTGTGGCACTGGTAGGTGAGTGTACGGCTACTTGGTGGCAACACAGTCTACAGCCCACAGAGCAGACGGGTTTCTGAGCAGTGACATGTGACTGCTGTCACATTTCAGTGCTTCTCCAGGCTTGATCATTTAAAGGGGTTTGCATTCCTCGGATAAAAGGCTTCTTTTCTTTCTTGAGGTGGCTGATTTACTAAAGTCTCAAAATAGTCTCTGCATCATGAGAAGTAGGAAGCCAGTTTATTAAGAGCAAAAAGGGCGTAGCTCAGGGTCAGGCCACTCCTCGTAGCCCCCGAGGAGAGCCCCTCCTGCTCTGGGGAGGTGCTGGAGCCTCTCAGTTCAGCCCCTGGCCAGAGACCCCAGCATCCGCTTCAGTCCCCTCCTCTCCCTCCTGCACTGATCCACCTGGCGCCGAATCCTTTATTTCCCCATCCTGGAAAGTTAAAACAAAACAAAACTGAAAGAGTGGCCAAGAGTTGCACTTGCTGTGTGAACAAAACCTGTTGCATTTATCCTACCTTGCTCAAGAGAATTAGAAGAGAACGTTTTTTTTTTTTTTTTTTGAGCCGGGGTTTTAGTTGTCCCCCTGGGTAGAGTGCCGTGGCAGTACAGCTCACAGCAACCTCCAACTCCTGGGCTCAAGCGAGTCTCCTGCCTCCGCCTCCCAAGTAGCTGGGACTACAGGCAGAAGAGAACGTGTTAATCAAAATTTCCTGTCCTCTCTCTCTGTCTTTCCCACTTGTTTGTTCATTCTTTCTAACAAAACCGAGCCATAAAACATCTGTAGGGAAGTTCTTGTCTGTTTTGTTCACCTCCGTGTCCCCAGCACTTAGAACAATGCCTGGCTCCCGGTGCTCACAATGTTGAATGAAGGAGTGAATAAATTAATGATTGAATGAATAAATACCCAGAGCAAATCGTGTGGGAGGAGAGCCCAGTCTGCTGTGTCCCGCATCGTGGGTGGGTGTGGGGCTTCCCTGGCACCTGCCTTCCCCGCTGTGCTCCATCACCTGCTCCCTGGGGCCCCGATGGGTGGGGCTGAGCCAGCCTGAAGCCAGAGTGCGCTGCCCCTCGGGAGCCACTTTCTCTGTTATTGCTACCAGAAGGGTCCTGCTGGATCAGCTACCTGTTAGTTCATTAACAAGTTTACTAATGGATTAGCCATTCGTAGATTCATCTGATGGAAGGAGGAGAAGAATGTCACAGTCAAAGGAGGAGGGTTAAGCTTCCCTTGTGTTTTTGCTCTTGTTTTAGCAGCTTTTGGAGATATCATTGACATATATAAACATTGTATATACAGGCTCGGCACCTGTAGCCCAGTGGTTACAGCGCCAGCCACATGCACTGAGGTTGGCAAGTTCAAACCCGGTCTAGGCCAGCTGAACAACAATGACAACTGCAGCAAAAGAATAGCCGGGCATTGTGGCAGGTGTCTGTAGTCCTAGCTACTTGGGAGGCTGAGGCAAGAGAATTGCTTAAGCCCAAAAGTTGGAGGTTACTGCAAGCTGTGACGCCACGGCACTCTACCAAGGGTGACATAGTGAGACTCTGTCTCAAAAAAAGAAAAAAGACAGAGAAAATTGTATATACAGGGTGCCCATGAACTCGCACATGAGCTTTATGGACACCTGTATAAAAAAAATATACAACTTGCTGTTTTGATACGTGGGTACATTGAGAAATGATAGTCACAATCAAGCCGGTTAGCAGAGCCATCACGGCTGTGCGCGGGGAGGCCAGAGGGTTGCTTCTCCCCAGGGCTCCATGCAGCTGCCCCTCCAGAGGTCACCTTCATCCTTCCCAGCTCATGAGGCAGTAAGGACCGTGTCTCTCCCTGTCCTGCCTCCTCATTTGCCTCTCTCAAGAGGTCCTCTTAGACTGGGTGGGACAGTGCCCAGAGGAAGACATGAAGACCCCAGTTTGTCACTGGGGGGGCCAGAAGGGTCAAACATGACTACTTGCACCATGGGACGGGGGGTCTTGGTCAGAGTAGGTGATGAAGATGCTTTGATGGGAGACTCAAGCCTTCAGGCACCCAAAGCTTGTCTCCGCAGCGGCAGATTGAGCTCTGTGCCTGAAGGTGTCCTTGCAGTAGCCCTGCCACAAGTGTTACTGTCCACTTTAGAGATGAGGAAACCAGAGAGCAAGAAACTGCGGCCAGAAAGTGGCAGCAGGCAAATCCACAATGAGACGCGTAGATTCTGAGGGCAGAGCCCTTTCCATGTCTGTGTGCCTCCCCCTTTCCACTACTTTGCTAACGAACTCCCTCTTGTCCAAGGAGGATATTGTCACAGATGGTGTGAGTTAATGGCCCCCGAGATCTATACTCAGACATTTTATTTAGTTTGTCTTCTACCCATTATAGCAAAAGTCCAGAGGGTGGCGATGGGGGTGGGGGCTAAGGGAAATTGATCAGCGACTTCAAATAATTACAAATTTTAAGAAATTTTTCCCCGTTGATGTTTTTGGAAGTGTGTGTTGGAGACAGGGCTTGAGCACATCTGCTATGGTTAGCAGGCGCAGCCACGCAGCCCGAGTGTCACGGAGCTCTGGAGTAGTAGATCTCTGTCCCCCTCAGTGCTTCTCAGCTGGGGGCACTTCCCTACCCGGGGACATTCAGCAATGTCTGGAGACATTTGGGTTGCTGTGAGTGGGGAGAGGGATGCTAGTGGGATGCTGTGAACATCCTTCAAGGCACAGGACAGCCACCCCACAACAAAGGATTACCTGGTCCCAAATATTAAACATGCCACAGGTGAGGAACCAAAGATGGGTAGGGCGTCATTGAAAGATTCTGCTCCCAGAAGAAAAAAAAATCATTTTACCATAAGGTCATTTGCACTAGAGTGTTTATAACAGCTCAATTCACAACCGCCAAGGTGTGGAAACAGCCTAAGTGCCCATCAACTCACGAACGGACAGATCAATGATGGGGTATGTATACCATGGAATACTATTCAGCATAAAGAAAGACGAAGGTTTCTTTTATTTATTTATTTATTTATTTGAGACAGAGTCTCACTCCGTCACCCTTGGTAGAGCATCATGACGTTTTAGCTCACAGCAACCTCAAACTCCTGGGCTCAAGTGATTCTCTTGCCTCAGCCTCCTGAGTAGCTGGGACTACAGGCGCCTGCCACAGCGCCAGGCTATTTTTAGAGATGGGGTCTCGCTCTGGCTCAGGCGGATCTCAGAGCTGTGAGCTCAGGCAAGCCACCCTCCTTGGCCTCCCTTGTGCTGGGATTACAGGCGTGCCCCACCATGCCCAGCCCAAGACAGAGGCTTTACATCATTTGTATTTACCTGGATGGGTTGGAGAACATCTTCCTAAGGACGGAAACACAAGCACCCAATGTACTCAGTGCTAATATGAGACAAACAGATGCACGCCCACACAAGAGAAAAACTAACCACAATCAGGTGGGGAGGAGAGGGGAGGAGAGAGGGAGAGAGAGGAGGGAGGACGGGGGTGGGAGAGCGTTTAGTGTGTTATGACCTAACGGGCACAACACAGGGGTCTATGGCACAGCTCCTGGGCGAAGGACTCTACTATGACCCAGACTTGACCTAACAAACAGAAGCGGCGTAACCTAACTGTTTATACCCTCCTATCAGTCTGGGAAAAAAAAAGATAAAGATCATGCTCTGAAATTGGTCTTTGGAGAATGGCTTATAAGAATCAATAAACTTACAAATTACTCTAATAAAAAAAAGACTCTATTGCAGCTTTCTACAAACCTTTGACGTAAAGCAGGAGGTCCCTGGCACCCAGGGCGGCTCCTGACCCGAGCCACAATCTCTCTGCAGAGGCTGACGCTTGTGCTTGCCCTGGCAACCCTGATAGCTGCCTTTGGATCATCCTTCCAGTATGGGTACAATGTAGCTGTTGTCAACTCCCCAGCAGAGGTAGGTTGCTATGGTGAGATTCAGCTCCTGAATAAACAGGGAGGGAGGTCTGGGGCAGCTTGTGCCCAGGTGTGGCCAGCCAGCATGGGGCTGTGTGTGTACATAGTGCATGGACACAATGGGTCTTTGCGTGAAGGGGGGGGCACACACAGGGCACACAGCGTGGACCCAAGGGAACTTGCAGGCACAGGCCCTGAGGATGAACCTGAGGTCTCCAGACTCTTCAATTCCTCATGAAGGGCATCCAGGACACAGTCCGGCTGGATACAGGGTGGGCTGGACTCCAGGAGAGGGCTCTGATCTTCTGTGGCCTTGTAATTTCTAGAGGAGACTGGAGGGAGCAGGGCCCACCTAGCTGATGGGAAGATTAGAGTCTTTCCTTCCTGGGTGAGAACCGCCCTGGGGGCTTGTCAGTGTGAGGCCTCCAGGCCCTCCCCGTGGGGCCGTGGCTAACCTGCTGCTCTTGGAGCTTGTCCTATCTCCTTTGCCCCTACTTAGCAATGTTGATCTTTATGTGCCCAGATTTGCCCATTTGGAGGCTTGACAGCCTACGTGGCTCTTTCTGAAACCCAAATGAAATTTCATGGTGTTCTGTTTTGCTTTGTTCCCTAGTTCATGCAACAATTTTACAATCAGACCTACTATGACAGAACCGGCGAGTTCATGGATTCCTTCCCCTTGACGCTGCTGTGGTCTTTGACTGTGTCCATGTTTCCCTTTGGAGGCTTCATTGGATCCCTCCTGGTCGGCCCCCTGGTGAATAAATTTGGCAGGTGAGGGAAAGCAAATTATTAATTCCCTGAAACTCATAGACCCCATCATCGTTTTAAATGTAGGTCAAAAACTGAAAGCTTCATCGTGACACCAAGGTAGTAACTAGCTGCAGAGGTCATATTTGTTGTCTAAAGGGGTCACAAAACCCCCAGACATTGACAAAGTATTTGGGGACCAGGGCATGACAAGTCACAGGTCACAGGAGCTAGAGACAGGGGTGGCTGTGGTTCCCCAAGCTCTCAGGCAGACTTGGGCAAAGCCACATGTACTGACCAAGATCTTCACCAAAACCAGAAGCGAGTTCTCTCCCCACCATTTCCGTCTTTACGAACTGTCAGACTCTGAAGTGGCTTTTACGAACTGTCAGACTCTGAAGTGGCTTAGCCAAGATGTGGGCCGCAGCACTGATCTTGACCTAGCAATCTCGAACTCTCAACATAAACTAACATAACAATCTTCTTTTGCTCTCTCTTACCTTGGGACCAGGTAATATGCAAAGTTTAGACAAGTTAAATTCCTGTAAATCTCTGCAATGTCTGAGACATTAGTCAGGCACTTTGGTGTGAGAACTGCCCTCCTAGGGCAGCAGAGAACACCGGGATCAAGGCTTTCTCTTTGCCCTTGTTTCTAGAAATATTAGAAATTCTGTATTTTATTCCATAAGATTTTTCTTAAGGTATGACAATCCCCAGTGTAAATTCACGGACATTAGAGATCAACCCAGTTATAAGCAGAATTGTACTTCTGTTATTTTGGGTAAATATCGTCCCAATATATTGTTTGTATTGTTTTATTTTTTAATCATACATGTAGTATCTTTTTTTGCAAAGTTTTTAAGTATTTCAAATTTATGGTTTTGCTTTTTGGGTTGAAGACTGCCTTCCTTCCTGGAAGTCTTAAGGGTATGCTTCTATACTTTTAAAATTAATTTTACTGGCCGTGCCTATGGCTCAAAGGAGTAGGGTGCCAGCCCCATATGCTGAAGGTGGCAGGTTCAAACCTAGCCCTGGCCAAAAACTGCAAAAAATCAAATTAATTTTACAATTTTGTTTTTCCCACATAGATTTGGAATTTTATTTTGTATATACTGAATGAAGAAAGTGAGGGTTTGGTTTGTGTTTTCACATGCCTAGTTCCCATCTGTGTATCTTGGTGAAGTTGTCAATCAGTTGTTTTCTTATTAAGCTTTGAGAGGGTTATTTTATTTTATTTTATTCAGAGACAGGGTCTAACTCTGTTGCCCATGCTGGAGTGCAGGGAGAGGCTCAATCATAGCTCACTGTAACCTCCAACTCCTGGGCTCAGCTCGAGCGATCCTCCCACCTCAGCCTCCTGAGTAGCAGGGACTGTGTGAGCACACACCCAGCTATTTTTTGTTTTGCTTTTTGCAGAGACAAGTTCTCCTTATTTTGCCAAGCTGATCTTGAACTCCTGGCCTCAAACCATCCTCCCATCTCAGCCTCCCAAAGTGCCTATAGGCGTGAGCCACTGTGCCCAGCTTTGTATATTTTAAGTAAAATATATCTTTTGCCAATATTTTCTTCCAATCTGTGGCTTGTCTTTTCGTTCTCTCGAGGGTGTCTTTCACAGAGCAGAAATTTTTAATTTTAAAGATGGCCAAGCTTATCGATTCTTTCTCTTTTTCCCTGCTAATAAACTTGGCTTTGAATCCATCTGTTTTAATGCCATCTGTATTTTCAGGCTGTGTTTATGTTTCTCTTCATCATCTCTCACCTCTTCATAATGCTTATGACATCTCTTTGTGTTGTGTCACCTTCTTGTCTTAAATTATATTTTGTCAGTTACCGAGACTGTTACCCAACTTCCCGCTCTCCGTCACCCAGCCTGGAATGAAGTGGGGTGATCATAGCTCACTGTAGCCTTAAACCCCTGGGTTAATCCTCCCACCACTGCCTCCAGAGTAGCTGGGACTACAGGTGCGAGCCACCCCACCCAGCCTTATTTTTTATATTTTCAAATGTTCTGTACCCTTTTGTCCCAGTATCAATTCTCTCTTTTATGGATTATGCCTTTGGTGTCGTCCCTAAAAAAGTCATCACCAGACCCACAGCTGTCCAGGGTGTTCCCTGTGCTGTCATTTAGGAGGTTAATGGCTTCACATTTTCCAGCCAGGTCTGTGATCCATTTGAAGGTCCACCCTCCATTTGTGAAGGGTGTAAGGTCTGTGTCTACATTTTTTGGCATGTGGTCGTCCAGTTTTTCCAGCACCATTTGTTGAAAAGTTTATCTTTTCTCCATTGTATTTCCTTGGGTCCCATGTCACAGACACTGTATTTCTGTGCGTCCTTTACTGGCCTCTCTGTTTCCCTTCACTGGTCCATTTGTTCACTCGCCACCCGTACCACACTCTCTTGATTATGGTAGCTTTAGAGTAAGTGTCAGTTCTCTAGTATAGTACTGTTCTGGCTCCTTATTTGATGGCACTAGTCTCTAATTCTGTTCTCAGAAGATGTGCTGTTTGTGCATGAGGCCTCTTGCACACAGTGGGCGGGTTTGTGCGTTTTTGGAAGTGGCGGGGCACTGCCCTGAGGGGCGCCATGGTGCGGGGTGTCGCGAGGAGTTTGCCGTTGTTTCTGTCGTGATCTCCAGGGCATGCTTCTGACTTAAGCAGAAATGCTTTATGAGTTTTAGTAAGTGGGATGTTTGTTATAGTTTTTTTTTTTTTTT